TTGCCTGCAGTGCCAGTAGTAGATTGTATTCCTTGTGCACAGACTTCACGTGCTGTATTGCCCTTGCACTGATTTATATTCTATTTGTTGGAGGGTGAAATCTCCGACTCTGCGATCTTTTTAAGAAAGGTCTCAGATGGTGTCCTTGAGGTTGTTCCTTTTGGATGTCTCCAGTGCGTCTTTTGGATTGCTCGGGTACCCTGATCGAGGAAGGAATCTACTTTCCTATCTAGATATATTGGCTCGCATTGTACCTTGCTTATTAATTTATTGAGCCACGGAACTAATTTCCGTAAGGAGTAACGCAACATTATGGTGGCTTTGTGTGTATATATGAGCGTATTTTAATAACTGGGCAATTAACTGCCATGGTGGATTGGCCCACGCATTATGTTTAGAGATATCTATTTGAAAAGCTTCTCCTAAGGATGATTAAATGTTCTATATTATGGTGTGCAACAAACATATCGATTTAATGTGGCCAAACTATATTTTCAGCCAGCTCGAACCATCGTGGATTACACTTCTAATCGGTGGCGATGAGCTCTCGTACTTATTAAACCTGGAAAATATATCTGGAAAATTGTTATGCATTTCGGGTAAATGTTCTATATCAAAGTGGAACTTAGAAGTTATGTCATCCCATATATTAAGTAACTGAGGGTCTGGCTTCATCTCTTTCATATAACGAAGAGACTTTGGTTACGCATCAGCGTAGAAGCTGTTCCATAGAGAAAATCTTTAAAGTGTGTCCTAGCTGTAACAATAACTAGTAATTATTGTTTAACAGTTGAGTAATTCAACTGTGATGAAATTCATAACTCGACTAAAGAGTTGTATTCAACTCGGTTTGTTATCGATAACCTGATGTAGTACTCCTCCAAGTGCTAAGTCGGAGGCGTCGGTTGCTATTTCGAATGGCACATCATCCACTGGCCCTTGTACTCAAAATGCCTCATCACACTCCTTAGTCCACAGTTCTCCTAACATATTTTTTTGTGACATCTTAATAGTCCGAAAGATTTTAAGTAATCTGCTAGGTGTGGTACTCTATCTGAAAAGGAGTTTACAAGCCCACACATACTATTGATATCTTCCCCAGTAGTTGTTGTTTGCCAACCTAGGATATGTTCTACCTTTCTGAGGTCAATTTTTATACCTTCTCCGGATACGATATCCTGAAAGTTGTATTTCACTCATAACGAAAAGATATTTCATCTCGTTAATCATGAAATTTTGTACGTTGAGTCTTTGAAGGACTTTCCTTACTATTGCAGCGTGATCTTGCTTAGTCTTTAGAAAAATGACTGTGTCATCGATATAGACTTGAACGTTAGGCTGTCTGCAAACATTTCTTCCACTACTTGTTGGAAGAACGCAGGTAAAGAGTGTAACACAAAAGGTGCTCTTTTGAAACGTTATAGGTTCCTCTTCCATAATAAAATAAAGTATTTACGATGTGGCTCATATATCTTCATTTGATGTTATCTTTCTGTCAGGTCTATAGTTGTAAACACTGTAGCGCCTTTCATTATCTTTGATAACTCGGTTTGTATGCGGTAAGTGAAGGCTAGGAATAGGCAAAAATTTATTCATTGTGCTCATATCTAAACACACTCTGCCCTTCTTATTCTTAAATGAACCGTCAGAGTTATGTTAGTCAGCATCTAGTAACACCAAGCTAACTGGCGTTTGTTGATAGTTCATTCTATCTCTCTATCTGCTACCCACTTGTCTACCTTTTCTTTTACTACAGTCTCATGTCTCCAAGATACACAGTTTCTTGATACACATTTCAGCTTGGTAAAGTCTACATTGGTTAAGTCAAGGCTGACATATACGTCATCAAAGTGAAACTTAGCCCAGTCACCAATATTAATCTCTTTATTTACAAGAATAAAGTCCATAATCTTGCTTTCAAAGTCTGGGATTAATTCCTTGACTGTATTGGACGGTGATACATATGATTTCATACAGTTATCGTTGATTTGTTCTTTAAATGATATACGTTGTTAAGTAAACCAGTAACGGTATGTGTACTTTTGTGACATCTTCAGTATCACAACCTGGGTTGTGATATTGCAACCATCGGCCACATACTTGGACGTCTTCTCATCTGCTACTAAAATAAGGTGAGTAGTTCGTGTTCTTCGTTCGATATCTTTTAAAGCAAATCGATCGGATATACATTTTTTTTAAATTGAGATCAGTCAATACAAGGACTTTATTTCCGATGCATTATACAGGGAGATTTACACACACGTTCATTTAACAGTTCGTTGTATTGTCGCTGTAGGGATTGCACCCGGTAGTACCTTCACTCCAACTTGATGTTGGTTTTCTTGTCACAAGACTTAGCATGATAGTCATTAGTCTTGTCGCACATGTTAACAAAGTGCTTACAAGTTGGCATATGTCGCCCGTTCCAGTACCGTTCGAGGTCAATTGATACATATCGTATCCACACTTCATATGCACCACTCATCTCTTAGTATGCTTGTATGGTGTTTCCTTTTTAGCAGGCGTTTTCTTATCACGTTGAGGTTTCCGGACAGTATCCAACGGGCGTGCTGATGGAATCGAGTTGCTCTCGTGGTTTCCTGACTGACCACCTTTTCTTTTAAGGTGACACGGTCCAAAGGATAGAAAATAGTCTTATCATAAAACTGATCCCAACGGAGACAAGTCAAGTGGAACTTCTGTATTCTCTTGGCCATTGTCCTGTGTTTCTTTAGTATACTTGCGACGAAGATCGATGTACAGCTTTTTGCGATCATTGCTGCCAATGGTTATGCAGAACATATGCATGGCTAGCAACGCATACCATCGCGACTTGCCATTAGTGGTTATGTCAGGTCCGACTAAGTCCGCATCGAGCTTCAATATAAAGCTCAATACGGCAGTGCTCGGTGGTGGTGGTGCCAGGATCGAACGTATAGTAAATTAGGTGAATAACTGAACCTACCAACCTAGTACTATTTCCCAACCTAGTACTATTTCACCTAATTTATTACAAACGTAGTCTTGGGCTTTGCATATCTTTGTTCAGCAAGAATATCAACAACAATCGTAGTAGTCGACTTTTTCTTGGTCATGGATATCATGAGCGATTTTCATTGTGACCGTGACTTCAACGGCAAATCCGTTAAGTACATCTACATCCGCAGATTGGAATACATTCTTCGCGGGTTAATACAACACAGTACGATCAACACGAGCAAACTCTAAGTCGTCTGCTTGTTTACGGAAAGCTTTAGTTATGTTCGTCACACAATTATATAGTGCGATCAAGGCTTGTCCCTTACTGGCTATTGTTAAGTCAGCTGAATTTAGTTTAAACAACGTCGCTTTCTCCCACTTGGGTACTTCTGGCAAAGTACCCTTGCCTGCCGCGGAGTCTATATTATCCTCGAGTATGGAATACTCATCTCCAGAAGAGAATACAACTGGTGTCAATCTCTCCTAATCTTTAGGTACTGATTGTCGAAGTGCGGGACCTCTGGAATCCCGCTGTCGGCTTGGCACTCAGATTTCTATGCTCTGAATCGTCATTCTTTTAACGGCGTTTTGCATAGAGCTTGCAGTGATGTCGTCGGAGACAGTTTGTTTAAGTGCTTTGCTTTCTCGCCAGAATCATACATGCGATCTGTTTGATCAGCTACTTGCTTCTCCTATCGAGGTTCTCATCAGTCTACATGAGCATTGGTCCGGTAAACTTGGTTACTGAGTCGGTCTGGCCTTTAGGGCTTGATACTTTGTCATTTATCAATCTTTTACATACAGATGGTTCATTATCGCCTCGGGGTTTGACATCGATTGCTGGGCGACTTTCCTTCTAAATTTCCTTTTCAGAAAAAGCGCACAAGGGTAAGCCTTAGAACCACCACAAGTGTCGCTACTCGTTTTCATATATGTAAACTTCAAAGTAGAGGCAATAGTTGGCCCTCTAGCTCTCTCCTTGGTGGCGTTGCCTTATCTTTCTGCAAATTGTTGTCTTGACCGAATTCTCCAGCTACATCCATTTTTTTCTCGGTGTAGAAATACGGCCTACGGTCAGTCTAAAATATCAAGATCAAATGAGATAACACATTGGTTTTTATTTGTATTTAAAATATTTTAATTCAAGTTCTTTTTCCAATATTCCCAAAGTGCTCTAAATTCACTTTGATGGCTCCAATAGCTTGAGTATTTGGTATGACTCATTTACTTGGACCTATTTGAGACGATAGTAGATGTAGGATATTATAAACCAAATTTTATAATCTCTGAACTACTACCTACAGGTTTTGGTCTTATTGCCGATCTCCAAAATCCAATACGTCTTTTTCTTTTTTTTAAACTTTTCTTCAGATGGAACTTTATTTATATTCGCTAATGTATTAACTTGAATTACGTTCTTATGTCTATCTACAAATTAGACATGTGGTCATGAACACTTAGTACTTCTTGTGAAAATTAGTCAATAAGGAACAGCTAGAGGTACGTCCTGTGTGATCGAGGATATTAAGGCTCTTACCAAGAGGCAGTCCCGATCATTCTTACACAAGCTACCACTGCAAAATCCTAACTGACTTAAACTGTATCTCAGTTCATATAACAAAGTTTAAAACATAGATATATCCATCGAAGTTTACCTCGGCTTCATTTACGTTGCTGAGATGGAGTAAAATCTTTCATCGTTATCGTACTTTAAAAGTAAGATTTGCACTATTTTCTTAAGCATTAGTCAAGGTAAGAGCTTTTTTTCTGTGGTAGTCGATATCTACTACACTTAATCAGCTCAAAAAGTCAATACTTTGCAGTTTTAAAATTTGTAAAGACCAGTCTCTCAAACCGATATTAACGTGCCGAATCTGTTTAAGAATTTGAAGTTTCTTGGAGTTCAATTCAAAAGTAGAATGTACAAAAGTAGCCGAATGATAAGGTTAGGTATGCCTCGTGCGTTAGACATGAATTACTGGTTGTAGCATTGTCCCAGGGTATCGCCCCTTTCCGCGCTTATGACTTCCATGGCTTCAGCTGGCGACACCCCCTCAACCGACTGGTGCTGTTCACCCGACCATGTAGCCCGTCGCCAACGCTGTGACAACATTAAGACAAACTCAACAAAACGCTGGTCCAACAAGGAAATCGAGGTAATGTCCCGGCGCTAGTAGTACTACCGACTGGTCATTGGTAAACCACCAGCCTCAAATCGGGACAAAGCCAGACACGACAGCTTCAAACGTTACTTCGAGCCTACACTAATCCGGCTCTGTGCTATGATTGTAACGAATACGTACATGTTCATATTGTTCGACTATCGCACCGACGGCTGTCTCTACCATGTCTGCCTTGGTGGCCACAGATTCACCACCAGCCACTTTAGCTGTATTCAATAATTGATTTGATGCATCCTGGTAGGCTCAAAACTGCCGTCCATTGACCCTGACATCCACCAGCAATTGCAGGAGCGCCACGACTTCTACGGTATCTGGACCTTCCACGAACACCTTCCTCAACACGATGGCTAGCAATACGCCGCCTCAGCTTTCTACGACGGACTCTTCAACGACAGGCAATGATATAAAAATGGCTGACATCGTCAAAGAGGAGAGCCCAGTAGTATTGACCGATGATGAACAATGTTAGGACCAATGAGGATGACGCTCTTCAACCCACAAGGACTCAATATGGACAACGCAGCACATACAGATAAGTGTTTGAACGTTATATCGATTTTAAGTCAGGTTGATGTTATGTGTGTGGTTGAAACCTGGCATAACACCACATTTCTTAATTATATACACTCGAACACACGCTATCATATACAACATCACACTACACGGCATAATATCTTACACCCTTCACACTGTGGTATTGGTATCTTTTCCAAACACCACCCATCGAATTTTCAACTTGTACACTCTTCACCGTACGCGGTGTTCTTTGTGTGCTTTGGCGTTCATATGGCCGTGTTCTACTTCCACTCAAATCGCTTACTGAAGAAGACGTCAGGCGATACATTAATCCCCCCGAGATTGGTGGTTTCCAACCAGATGTCGTGTGGGGAGATTTCAACTTCAAAGCTCGGAAGTATGGCCATGTATCTACAAATCACGGACTCCCATCAATCTTTCCTGAACCACTACAGCGACTATGAGAGCCATACCATATGTTCATACATTGTATCATACATACTTGCCATTTTTGAAATAAACAATATTATCCCTAATGCCTTAGAATAAATAAATGCGAACGTAAATTCTAAATATAGTGTAAAATCGATAT